TGTTAATGAGGCCAGCAGGGGAGCAGAGCCTACGCTCTGTGTGGGTCCTAATACTCCAGTACAGTGAAGGGGACTCTATACTGCTCAGTGAGCGCCATCTTTCGAATGAGATGTTAAACCGAGGTCCTGACTCTCTGTGGTCATTAAAAATCCCAGGACGTCCTTTGAAAAAGAGATTAGCCCTCTGGCCTCTGTCCAGTATGGCTTCCTAACCGTCCCCATATGATAATTGGCTTCATCACTCTGTCTCCTTTCCACTAACCAGCTGGTGTGTGGTGTGCGGTCTGGCGCAATATGGCTGCCGTCACGTCATCTTGGTGGATATTCACTGGTGGTAAATGAGGAGGTTCCCCTCGATGTGTAAAGAGCTTTGAGTGTTTAGAAAAGTGCTATATAAATGTAAGGAATTATTTTTATTATTAAGTTTTTTTTTTATTGCTGTTCAGTTTGAGTTTCAGGTCAGCTGACTTCAAAAACCATACTTTCAAGTCATCCTAGAACTTTGCTCAGACCCCTCAGTGGGCACCAGACCCTATAGTGAAAAACCACTGGCTTAGATTATTTAGCTGTAGGTTATAGTGGCTACAGGCTTCTCTTAGGAGTTCACAGTTATTGGATTCCCCTGTCTAGCTTTATGACCGATTTATATACTTCTATAAATAGCCTGGCAAGCCTTCTAAACTAATATTCTGCCACCTCCATAAATAAAAAAACAATAAAATGTTGCAAAGTTGCATGAGCAAAGATTACATGTACACATCCCACTGCTTCCATCTTGTTGTACTCAGGTCTACGGTGTTATATCGTAAGGAGGGCCTTCAGGAAGAGCGGAAGGGGTGGAGAGCTCATACTTGATGAGAACATTCAGCTTAGCTGTGTGCAAAACAATAGCTCACATCTCTAGAGTAGGCATGTTTTCGTAAAACTTCCTGCTCTCAATCCCACCCACCACTTCTGCTCTGGAAGAGGGGGATGGGGGGGACAAGTCCTAAATCTGTGAGGCCTTTGGCCTCTTATGCAGGAAGCAAAGCAATAGCTACAAGCAAACTAAACGATTATAGCAGCTTTAGGATTTAGCACTATAAAACAAAAGTGCATATTTCTTTCTCAAGACAAGCTAAGGAGAAACAAAGCCAGAGGTTGATGGTGTTGACAGTGTGTCTTTTTAGGTTACCTCTTTCTTGCAGAATAAATAAAGTGAGCTTTGATGGCTAAGCAGAAGCAAGGCAGATTTTATTTTGCAGACTTATTTGATAAGCAGACTTATTTGAAGCTAAGGTTTTTAAATGCTTCCACTAGAATAATAGTACCTGCCAGTGATTGTATAAAGGAGTAGGAGCTTCCTAGGTGTAACATGGCTCATCTGATAGAGCTGAAATAAAAACAAACTGGAACTGTTCTCATGCGCTTTTATTTCAACACAATATATGATATTTCCTCAAACAAATCTATACTACAGTTCTTACCTAGTCTCAACAGAGTAATGTTTAAAGGGGTGGTTCACTACGAAATCATCTTTTAAACTTTGATTGATGTTTAATGTAGCTGTGTGAACATAAAAAACATCTCTGAATGGTTAGAGGTGTGTAATGTTAAAGCAGAGAAAGCTAAACTGCCGTCCAAACACTGCCATTTCCACAGAGCTTGTTTTGTTTCTATATTTGGGCTTTTAAAGGACAAAACACGAAGTGAAAAGTGCTTACAATTTAATTTGAATTATGTTTCAGAGAATTAAATAAAGATATAGCTAGCATTTGACCAGTGACAGCTCTCAGAACCCCTAAAAACTCCTCAAAGAAGTAGCAGCTCCAACCATATTAGATGAAGCTGTGTTTGTGAGCCACAACCTGTAAGTATTATTTGTTAAAATTTATCTATTACATGCACAGTTACTAGAGGTAACGGTATGTTGTAGCGAGGTTGTAAATAAGGATGTAAGCAACGGGAAAGACTGTTTGGCACAGCTAACAATTTAACTACAAATTCTTATTTATCCGTCAAACTCCTGTAAACAGCCACAATCTTCACCAGCACGGCAGTGTCTTTCTATGTGGCTGCTTTGTGTGTATTCACATCTTAAATAACGAACTTACAAAAGATATGTGAATGTTTCATACCAATTAAACATGCTTATTCTAAATATATATAAAAGACACTTGTCAGAATTTATTTTAAAGAGCAGGCGTGAGGTTCAGCTTTGTCCTCTGTGTCATTTTCTGTGTGATTCAGGCGCAAACGGACACGGCTAACAGCTACTCTGACTTACAATATTTTTATAGAAGAGGCAAAGCGCATGCTATTAGAGGTGTGACACTGTTCTTGGTGACGGAGCCAATCCGCAAATCACAGCACATTATGCTAGCTGACCAATCTGAGAAATATGACAGTCGTTTTCATGTTAGCTGAATAGCAGAATATAATCAAAGTAAGATGCATGAAAAAATAACATGTTTTTTTTTTTTTTTTTTTTTTTTACAATTGAAGCATAAGTAAACTTTGCTTTGCATCTTAAAAACACAACAAAGCCTTAAAATACACTCTGCCCCTGTAATGATTAAACCAAACGGATATTTTGAAAAAATGCACACACATATGTACACATTCCACATTAGACAAACAAATAAATTCTTTTGGTGCATGAGAAGGATTTCTTTGATGGAGAAAAGTCTTAATATTAAAGGTGAATGCAGCAAACAGGAGCCAGCATCACCCATACCTCGTTACATAAAGTCAATTTGCTGAAATACTTTCATCGTAAAACTGTAGTGGTACAGTAGTACTGATGTAATAGGAGTATAGAACAGTTTTGAACATGGCTCAAGCTATCAGAATCAAGCACCAGATCTAATACTTTTTTTAACTGCTTAATTTTGCTGAAAACATTTGGCAGTGTGTTTAATGGCTGATTCAGCTGTGACAACATTCCCTGCTGTTGAAGGTCAATGTTAAAGTGATGGTTTGCCCAAAATTGAAAGTTGTCATCATTGTGCTCATCTTCTACATGTTTCAAACCTGTTTAAGTTCTGTTGATGACAAAGGAAGATACAGCCTACTGAAGAATGCTGAAAAACAAACAGCCATTGCCATCAATACTATTTTTTATTGCTATGGATGCCAATGGCTGCTGCTCCAACATTCTTCAGAAAATGTAGTTTTATGTTCAGCCGAAATTCATAAAAGCTTCAAACCACTGGGACATTCTACCAGAAATGTACATTTTCACTTAAAAAAAAGTTAACTTAAAAGCTAACTTAAGCTTGTCGTTCTCAACGAAATCGTACAAAACCAAGCATAAAATCATACAATTCAAAAATAGAACGCATCCTTGATCACTGTCAGCTTCTTCTCCGTCAAATGATCTCAATTCTGAGTTATATAGCCATAAACGTGTATTTCATGCATTTCAAGAGTTCACACTTAGCTTATGATAGATTATAAAGCGTATTTGGCATACTGTCCCAGGAGAGAGCCCTGAGCTTTGAACATCCTCGAGGCCAGGGCTCCCTCCTGTTGCAAGGCGAGAGGGGAGTTTGAGCTCAGCTAGATCTCGAAACTGCCCTGCTGTAGTAGCTAATTAACAGATAGTGATTGCTCTTAAGAAGTAACTGATTTGGATTAGTCAATTAACTTAAACTGCATGTTTTTAGACGGTGGGAGGAAATCGGGGGACCCCAGGGAAACCCATGTGACCACAGGCAGAACATGTAAACTCCACACAGAAACAACGGCTGGCTTGGTAATGACTAGAACCAGTGACGTTCTTGCTGTAAGGCAACAGTGCTAACCACTGGGCCACCGAGCCAAACATCTATAGAAACGGAGGAGGAGTAGGGGTGGAAGGGGGAATTCTTGAAAACGAAGATGGCTGTGATATGGAACTTATATTTAAGTTGTATTTAAGGGTATTTATAGTGGCTCTGATTGCATCTGATTCTAATTGGTGAATCATGAATTGGCTAATGCATGACCAGCTGTGTTCCATCATAAGCACGTGATCCTCCCGAAATTAGTTTAGAAATAAACTTCACCTAATGCAAATGTGACAGGACTGACCGAAACATGGGACCAATTGTAATTTTTTTTTGCATTATATATTTGTAGAATCTATTTATTATTTTATGTTTTTAATCAATTGATGTGAATAATAACAACTTAAACTTGCTTTTTCAGAAGTATTTTTTTTCTAAATAATAACATTTGTAGCATAACAAAACTATTAAAGATGTAGGTTCAACTGGGCTGAGGACAAATATAATAACAGGGTTTGTATATTTGTAAAATACTTTTAATAAAGAACAAAAATCTGAGATCCAAATGAATGACATGTTTTTACAACAACACACAGAAATCAACCATTAGTCATTTTAACCATTTTTAGGATGAAATACTTTTTATTCTCTGTATTTATGTCTTTATTTTAAGGGACAGATAATGTATGTTTCTGGTAGAATGTACTTATGTGTTTGTAAATAGAGAGGAATTTTTAATTTTGGGGGTTATTTACAGAAACAAGCAGTAATCTTATATTGAAAAATATACTCTGAGTAAAAAGTAGCCCTGTTTTAAAATCACATTAAATCACTACTCAAACGATCATGTCTTGAAATCATCAATAATAAACTATCTTTAGCTTTTTAAATATTTTATCCAACATTATGCAGCAGTCAGACTTTCTAGTTTGTAACGCACAGGGACACTTTTTTTTCATAATTTCTTATTGATAATAAATATTCTGACAGCTAAAAACACATTCAACAATAAACCATTATATATATATATATATATATATATATATATATATATATATATATATATATATATATATATATATATATATATATATATATATATATATAGGTATTATTTGATTTGTATTTATTTATTTATTTTTTTTTTTAAACAGTTGTCAATGTAGCCAAAAATAGCACAGTACTTTCTAATGATGTCACTTTTGGCCAACGCGTTTATTACCAACATATATTTCCATGCTTTAAGCAGAGCTGAAGCAAGGAGGGGCTTGAAAACTTCCTCCTTATGACCTCTGACTGCTTACAATCTGCAAAAAAAAAAAAAAAAAAAAAAAAAGGAATGACAGGCATTTCAATCCGGAGATTTGGAGCTCGACTGCGTTTATCGCGACTTCACAAAGTATGGAAAAGCTCTTTTGAGAAGCGGATCTCAGAGCCGGAGAAGTGAAATGCGTCTGCTGTTATGTCGATCGAGTGGGCTTTGTTGGACAAGTTCTTGGGGCGTCGTATGATTTTTGTTTAGAGGCCCATTGGAGATCGACATGGGCCAGACATCTGTCTCCAGCTTGTCACAGAGAGCGAGCGGTAAGTGTCTGAAGCGGGGCTTGTTCAGTCTGTTTGCTCAGCCGTCACACCGCTATATCTTGATATACGCCCATGGAGGGAAGACAGACGTGACTGCAGATATAGTCAAGTCATGTCCGCGGGAAACTAAGTTCATTTTCAGGTCTTACATGGGCAGGTTGGCTTTTCATCTAACGCAGCGCTGTCTACGCGACGAAATAAAATGATAGTTTTTTTCCTGAAGCAAGCGCGTGGATTTGGGCTTGTCGCGTGGCTCGCGTCGCGTGCTTTGTAAACGATCAACAAGTGGGACTTTGTCAAGCGCATCTTCTTTGTTTTGATGAATTAAGAGTAGCTTACTTAAGAAAAACGGATATACAGAAGTTCACTGGCTTGTACTTTTCAGGAAATGATTTTCATTATTTTCTTCATCGTAATCTGCTGTCAAAGTAGCCTACGTGCTTTGAGATATACCACTTCCTAATTTCACATGGGTAAAAATAAAAATTTAACTGAGTGTAATTATTTTTTTTTTGATTAAACGTTTTATTTCGATGACTATGTTAGCTTACCTTGGATTGAATTGTTGAACCCAAACATATAAAATAACCTAAGTAAGCTTAACATTAAATGCGTACAAAACAAACCTACAGTATCTCTTAAAGGATGAATCATTTATGAAGGACATTTATCTACAATTCCAGCGTTATGGATGTGACATTTTCAGTAAAAACTTAAAATATAGATACACAAAGAAAGTATAAATTACATTGAAACATCTTGTATAGTTACGAGATAAGAAAAATATCAATCAAAATGAAGTTTATTTATATTTTATGTGAAGAAAATAAACATGCGTTATAGATGTGATCGAAAAAGTCTCCGGATATACAGTATACAACACACTTTGTTGATATTCTGTGAATTAAACTGCACAACCCAAAAGAAATAATGCTAATCGCAAGGATAAGAGCTGGCTCACTACAGAACAAACATGATTGATTTTATTTTGATTAACAATTTTTGCATTTATGAGGAAAAAGCTTTGTTATGGATGTCTCGGATGTAAAGTTGCCACTTTTGTGACTTTGGTAAATCAAAAATAATTGTTTGAAAACGTTGACTGAAACATTTAGTATTTTTACAGTACTGTTAAATACAAGCCTCCACTCATAGAAAGGGGTTTGCTATTTTGGTGAAAACATTTTTTTATGGCATGGTTGACATTTACCTGTAATTGCTCATTCCTGAATCATACTTTTAGATTTTATGAAAAAAAAAAAAAAAAAATCTTATATTAATTTTGCAGATTTTGACGGTTTACTTTTATACTTTAGATAAATATGTTTGCATTAAGTTTGTGTTGTGTATGAAAAAAGGCGTTGTTTGATTTTTCTTTTTTACTCAATCAAATTTGAGTACAAATATTAATATATTAACATGCCGTTTAATTATGTATGATGTAAGCTGTATTTTTTAAATCCTGCAGTTCCTGTCATTTGTACTTGTATGTGTTGTCATTTATTATGAAAAAAAAATCATGTTTAAACTCCGCTTTACTTTGGCATGTTCAGACATTGCTATATGTGTTCATATTTTTTGTTTATTTGTTTTTGCTATTTACTTAAGCAACAGTAACAGAAATGTATTTGTGCCATAGCTGCTATTTGAAGCAAGTACTTCCCAATGCACTGTGATTGTAATCATAAGCTGCTTTGTGCACCAAATCTTGAATCACGGGATTTGCCACTATACCGTCATTTCCCCATTATTGCCAATGTGCTGTGATTCACAGATTCTGGTACTTTCAGTTCATTAGCTCTCAAAGGAATCATCTTGTTATATTTTCACGAACCATAATCATTTTAAGACTAAATCTTGCATTAAATGTTTAATTGGGTCTGACTGCTAAATGTGTAGACATTGTACAAAGAAATGAAAGCAAAGCAAACGTAATAATTTGACAAATCAAAGACTTAAATGGCACAGACTGGTTTCTTCTCTATTAATAAAATACAGAAATCTTCAGGTCTGATTATATCTTACGCCTACAGTAGTTTTTGTGAATTGTTTTTAAAGAAAGGCATTACAAGAATAGGTATTTCCTTTTTTCCAGTAGGGAAACCTACCAACTGTCGGCTGAAATTGGCCTATTGTTTTTGTCTTGGCATTACAGTGTGATGAACTGTGGCTATGGGATTAACATATTTTACCAGCAAATGTTAAAAGTGCCATGTACTGCATCTATTCAATAAGTTAAACTGTTCTCTAATATTTATATATTAGGTATGTGGCTTGGCTTAATTAAAAAAACTCTCCAGATATGTTTTTATGCTTATTATTACCTCATAAAACATCCCTAGAATAAGAAGAACCTTATTGATCATTTGGAATGGTCTTGAATATTAATGAGCTGACCAACTCTGTGAATTCTCTCTCACACAGCATGATGTACTCTGAAATGAACATGTGCAAAATAATCATACTTCATTTGTCAAAATATTTTAAGAAACAGAGTAGAGGCCATGTAAAAAATGTCCACTTATTGTAAGTGATGGATAGGGTTTTTGTTACCCGAGCGTATATAAGCATATATTAACCACCAGAGTAATCTATATTGCTCACGAGATGTGTTTTGGATAAACTAAAGACTAAATTATAATTATACTTGACAAAGAGACCGATTCGCTTGTTAAGTGTGACTTCACGCGAAGCAGCTTTCGGGTCCAACCGCTATATCAAACTGCATGGGGAGACTCAACAAATGGTGATAATAAATGTTTACAAGTCGATTGTAACATATGTGTATACACATCCATGCGTAATATCCGATGGCCAGAAATTGATTAATTTTTTATAAATTGTTAAAATATTAGTGTCTGTGATGCAGCTTGTCCAGAGACTTTTTGTACCCCATCATTTGAAATATAATTCACAATAATGTGTGATATGACTAAAAAGTGGTCAAAATGAATATTTTCTCAATTCAAATGAGTAATGGCTTGGACCCGGCCGCAGTATTCCATAAGTCACGACTTAATTCAATTCAATTTACCTTTATTTGTATAGCGCTTTTACAATAAGTTAACAAGTGGATAGAGATGTATTTGTGTTGTACTTTAAAGCTATAATGTGAATGTAAATGCATCTAGGAATTAATCTCAAACTCTGCATAAACAGATAATGTTTAATACAGTGTGTTTTTATAGTTGTGTGACACGATGCTTTAACATCCATTAAACACAATACTCGCCTACATTTGTTTACATACACAGAAAATTTCCCAATAAACAATACAAATTAATAAAAGACACCACTAAACATACCTTATGCCTCTTTGGGATGCAGTATATTTATGATCCTGGTTGCAACATATCAGCCTGTGTTTGGCTGATGAACATCTGATGGTGCGGCTGCTTGGCAGGTCCAGTTGACATAGAATGTGACCTAAAGTACATGCAATTGTTAAGGCTGTGCTAATGAATAGTCTTCTGAACTCTTATTATTTGACTATGCCTAGGTATAACCTTATTTTCTATATTCTTCTGAGACCCAAAGACATTTTTTTTTCTTTTTTTCTGTGATTTTTCTACATCTTTTGGGTTAAAAAAAATCTACAATTTAGAGTTTTTAAATTTTGTTTTTATTTTTAATTTTACAGCATGTCCACTGTAGTTGACCACAGGACCATTTTAGTTCGAAACGACCGCCACTCAGACAACAAAACTGTACAGGATATGGCTGTAAAGGGATATTAATCCAATATTAATGTAACAAAAACAAAACATAAGCCATTTTTTCCTTTTTGTATTGAAATTCCTGAAACAGTTTAGTCTGAAAGAGAGCCAAACTAAAAAATAAAAAAAGTGATGTTAATCCAAAACAAATTTAACATAAAAGCGATTTAATTTAATTAATTCTAATTTTCTTATTGTCAGACTCTAAATCAGAGTCTTCCTTAAATATTTTATGAAGAGTCCTCTTTGCTTTAGATCTGCCTCCTTCAACATGCACTCATTGCTTACATTAAGATGGTCCTGGTGTCCACTATAGTGGACATTTAAAAAAGGATGATATTTTTAAACACAAACAAGTTAACAGCTTTGAAAGCTAAATGTATTGTTCCTGACACTTTATTAACAAATATATATATATATATATATATATATATATATATATATATATATATATATATATATGTAATAATAATAGTAAAAAAACATTTAAAAATTTAAATTTTTACATACCTCTCTCCTTCCCATAAAATTAGATTTTTTGTATGTCGGCCATTTTGGATGCAGTGTAAGAAGTGTGTCCTAGCATGCCAGCTAATCAAATGACATATCACTAGAAAGCCCAGGATGTCCTCTGAACAGTACAACAGGACTTGACAGTGTAGCTAAAATAATTCAAAGAAAATTCATGAAAACATAATGTCCACTACAGAGGGCACAAGTCAATAGGCGAGGTCTCAGGAGGGTACCTTTAAAACAAGCTAAATTTAGCATTCATTGTTGTCTTAATGCATTTACCTGATGTCATAACCATTAAAGTTGATGAGTTAATGACTCAAAATGGTAATTACTAATTGACATATTGAGCAAAGCAGTTTTTTAGCTGCCAAATCTGCTTTATTATAACTAGCAGAATCCAAAAAGATGACAAACTGTGGTTGTACTGTAAGAAGCGCGCTGTGGATGTTGATGTGAGCTGCATTAAATATGTCTCTTGTGAACCATTTAGTCTACAGTACCTTATCTGGAAGTTATAGATTTTCGATAACTTTTGTTTCCAGATCATTGTGAGAATTTGTCAAGTTTTAAGCCCTTTCGGTTATAAAAGAGGAAGTGAGCAATTCAAATGTCATACAAGACATATTAGCACCTATGATTCTCCCCCACCCCCAGTAAAATACTGCAGCAAAAAAACTAGACTAAAAGGGTCAAGATGACAAACTTTGATGCTGGACGAAACCTTTCAAGAAGGTTCACACTTAATTAAATGTTTTGAAATGCTTTTAA